GGCCCCTTCTTTGGTTTATATTTTCCATAAACGGGGGGACCCCAATATTATCACCCCAAATACTAGAACCCTCATTATGGGGACCCCTCCCCAGAAGGCACCCCTAATTTTGGAAAACCGGTTTCTTGTTCAGCTTTTACCTTGGATGCGCCGCAAGAGGCCCCTGCACTAATCAGGATCCCACATGACATGTCGAAACAGTGGATTTCTAGTGTACAGCTTCCGTTGGCTTTAGTGACATTCCCTCATTCAGTTGCGCTTCATGCTGCTCATGACAGATCTAGTGGAAGTAGACCAAACCAAGATGCCCCCAACCACTGAGTCATAGACCTCTCGTCCACCAACTCTCAATGAACCCTGAACCTGAGGCCTCAAGCGCAACCATAGGGGTACCGTAGGGTGTCTAGTTTTTGCTATATATGACAAAAATAACAGGCATGACATGAATAGGGTAGGGCTAAGTAGGATCCCCCTAGGGCCTACATAGGTCTGGGCAGAGCAATGACCAAAAGAAGAGGAAGCAAAACACTCACCATCGGGTTCGAGGTTAGGGTGTTCTGGAGTTTAGCATGCTCAGGGATGGGTGGATCTCAATAGGGTTTAGGGAAAGTTTAGGGCTTAGGTCCCCCCCAGAAGTAGTTGCCATTTCTTCCATTCATTTATTCCTTACTAACAACTACCAACACGATTCTACATGACCAATCCCAGATTGCATTGTGTTTTCCATGTTCTTTTGCACTCCTACATTCCCTATTAGCTCGTCTATAAGCCTCAACCCTAAGACCTGCAACCCCAAATCCTACCAACGAGCAGTAAGCTAAAGGTATAGTATTTTGTAGTACATTGTAGTATGTTATAGTATATTATTGTACAGTACATACAGTAGGTTATAGTATATTATAGTATATTAGGTCAGTGGAGCTGTGGCCGGTGCTGTTGCGAAGACCGCGACGGCTCCACTTGAGCGCGTGAAGATGGTGTTGCGAGGATGCAGTTTCAGCTTATAGCCCTTTAAGGTGGAAGTGATTTTCCAGATATTGGTTTTGGTATCAAGTCAGTTTGACTTTCCACAGGAGGGAACATGCTTTTGCACATGGAGCCGGAAGAACGGCAGGGAGAGAACATGGAACAGGGGCAACAGGCTGAACAGATAGATACACAGATACACAGAGGATTTCTGAATAAAGAAGGAGATATATACAGGCTTTATCACTGTTTAGGGTGTGCGTGCAGGCCTTCAGGATTAGATCTTAGAGTTTACGGGGGGTTGGGATTGAAGGCCCAGGACTTCGGATGTTCGAGTTGGGTGTTTGGAGTCAGGGTTTCGGGTTTAGGGTTTTCGGGGGCAGGGGATGAAAATTAAGAGATTCAAGGCCTGCGGTTCATAGATTTGAAAGGCTTATATGCCTGAAGTTTACAGATGTCGGGCTTCAGGAGAATTACCCCTCAGGGTAGTAGGATGTTTGAATTTGGTCAAGATTGGTTACTGCAAAGCGGCCGCCAAGGACCAAACCCTCAAATCTTGTACGTATTGTAGAAGGCGAAAGAATTACGGCCCCTAAGCCCCAAATTCCAAATGGGAAGTCTTATCCTTCTATGCAAGCTGTGAGGCTGGAGGGTTTGAATTTGTCTCAGCAAGCGTTTTGCTTACCCATTTTCAGCCCATCCCCGTACTTCGGATCCTCTTGCTCTCATATAAGCTATAGTCTAAACTCCTGAAAGGGGGTCATAAAGAGGACTACCATGGGGCTTGTTGAGGGGGATGCGGAGTTTAGATTATGGCTAATATGGTTATCATTAAGATTTGGGGTTTAGGGTCTGACACTGGGCTTGAAACCGAAGCCCTTGCATTGTCCGACCCCTAAACCCTGTTTGGATATTTCCCGAAATTGGGGGCACTTTTTGGCGGGTCTCCACAACTTGACGAACTATGACATCTTGGTAGCGCTGTGATCCTCATCAGGCTGCAGAACCAGCAGCTCTCCGTTGGACGAGCTGCTCAAGCTCCTCTGAAAGCACAGGAGTAGCATGTTTGGAGGATACTATAGCCCTCAGTCTAAAGTAAGATTGTATGCTCCTTCTGGGTATGGTAGTTTATGAGAAGAACATAACCTTACTCGGGTCAAACGCCAAAACAATGCTACTCATAGCTTGTGGGGGTGTATTGTTTGCTCTTTCGAATATTCCACAGGAAGGGGTTGGGGGTTCAGTGCGATTTCAGATTTAGAGTTTACAGCTGAGTTCTTAGGAGCTGTTTTTGGGATTTAGCTTAGCTAGTCTTAGACAGCAAGACACCCAAATCACAACCAGGGTTCAACCTAGATCCCCCCCATAGTTACTATTACAGATGAGCTATAGTCTAGCCTCCTTAAAGGGGGTTTTATAAGGGATTATATAGAGGAGTATTTTAGGGGTTACTCAGGGGGGTACTAGGAGTTTAGACTATAGCTCAGAAAACGTGTATGCTTCGCAATATGGCTACCTAGAGCTAATCTGAACTTAGGCACCACTACGGAATGTTGCGCACGCTGCCGCTCAGCAGCTTAACTGCAGCGCAGCACCCGATGTCCGGCTTTAAGATTTTTGGCTTAGTGGCCGAGTAGGTAACCTTGCGCGTCTGGGGTTTATAAGACCCTGTTGCAATTGACAGATTAACCTGTTTTGGGCCAGGAAACTCAGCAAGTAGGTTGGGGATTTGAAGAGATTGGAGTCACGGTGTTGATTTAGGGTTCAGGGGTCTAGAGTTTTGAGTCTACCACACATTTCGGAAATAGTACCATCAGTCAGCATGGTAGACGAAGTTATACAGTTATACTCGCGAATAAGAAGATATTTCAGTGCCGGTGGCAATAGCACTAGTCGGCTAGTCTTGGTGGCAAGTCTCGTTGTTAACATCCTCCGGAGAGCGCGTCAATGGTTCTCTAAAAGGGGAGGTTAGGGACAATTTTTCCGGGCTGACCCTACACCCTAAACCCCACATTTTAAATCCTAAACCCTAAGCCCTATATCTTACAGTCCCCTATCTAACAGTGACACCCTAAACCCTACACCCTAAATCCTAAACCCTAAGCCCTATATCATATGGTCCCCTACATAACAGTGAGGCTGATGGAAGAGCCCTGTGGGCTCCAAGGATTCTGGCGCGGCAATTTAGCAAACATCCTGCGTGTGGCTGGGTTGCTCTTAAGGAACTTAGTTTAAGTTACTATAGTGGGGAAACCCTATTAATTACTATTATGTATAAAAAAACATATTGGGGAAACCCTATTAACTACTATATATATATATATAAGTATACACATTATGGTAATGGTAACTTAACTTGATTTTTCAAACAGCAACCCAGGTGGTCCCCACGTACGGGGCACGATTCTGGCTGTTTGCGCTCTGCGACAAGACGCTGGCCTTTGTTCCGCAGAATGACACCAGGCTGTTATTGGGTTGCTGTCAGGGAACCTAAGATAAGTTACCATCATGGGTATATTTAGTAATCAAACCCTAAACCCTCAACCCTAAACCTTAATATGGTTTCCCTTTATGGTAGCTTACGTAAATTATGTTCCTTATCAGCCTTCCAGTGAAGGGAGAAAGAAGACAGCAAGTTGAGCCATAGTCTGAACTCCTTGAAGGGGGTTAAAGGGGAGCATTATAGGGCTTATTAGGGGGGATACCAGGACTTTAGACTATAGCTCGTTTGAGATCTGGATGTAACCTGTACTTTTTGGAGACTCTCCGAGCATGTCCCTGAAATCCATACTGTAACCCTAAATCTGATACCGACAGCCTAAACCCTGGATGAGATCCCCCTGAATAATGCGTATAGTAGTCCCCTATTGAATCCCCTATACAACCCCCTTTAACGAGTTTAAACTAAAGCTCGTGTATCCCGCTGCATCATTCGTTTGGGAGGCGGTTCCTCTCGGGCGGTGTAGCCGGTGTCGGGGCACTGCTCCTAACGCATCCACTGGACTGCTTCAGGTTTAGGGGCTTAGGGTTCAGGGGCCCTCATCAACTTATTGATGGTCAGCAGGGAACAGGGGACTATCATTCCCGTGTGTTCCCTGTAATGCCTATAAAACCTTATATAGTATATCCCCTTTCTCCTTCTAACCACCAGTAAGTCAGAGGTTTTAGGGCTGGTGCGCCTCACTGGACCTTCACTTTAGATAGGGGAATTCCTGCCATATAAATTTCCAAACCAAGGGATCTTTTGGTCTAAAGTAGGGAAGGGCGAGAGCTGTACTTTAGGCCCTAGACCAAAAGGTAGAGTCTCGGCCATCACACGAATGCAAGGTCCGCGTCCATTGCGCTGCTTTGTGTCGGGTTTGTAAGGATGCCTCGGCCCATGGTTTTGTCATTCTTGATATGAGTGACAGTCGGAGAGTAGTTCTCAGACAAGGAGGACATAAGGGGTTAGGCTCAAACATAATTTGCAATTTCAACTGTCCTTAATCCCAAATTCATCCCTAGAAACAATGTCTTTGGAGGGCGCCCAAAGATACGTTAGGACAGGGGGCAGCCACCCAGCCCTTTGCTTTGCGCTAACGGCTTCTACTCTGCGGTACCTTGAGATTACTATGCCTAGCCCCCCAATCCCCGTAGAATGAAGATTCCTAATGTAGGGGGTTAGTAGATATAAGCAAGGGGGGAGAGATGAGTACACACACAACTTGTGACTGCTCGGGGGACTTAACGGAGGCAGATTTGTGGCAGTGGCCTTCCATCCACATGAAACAGTTCTTGGCAAAGCTACCTTGCAGAGGAAGCTAGAAGAGCTGTTGGGGTTGGGTGTCTAGTTTGTGAAATGTGTCAGTGTGTATACACATGTATAGGTAGAACTGTACACACATATGATGTGTGCATGTGTCTGTGTCTTAAGCTGCTGTTCCTGGTGTTGGGAACTCCTGATACGTGAAGAATGCGCTTACTTGCTAATTTCCAGCGAAGTTGTAAGAGCTGCAAGGGCTTCGGGGAGTTTTGAGCAGCGCTATTGGGAGGACATGGTTCGAACCCGCTTGGCTGCGGCACGCGTTTTCGCGGATGAAGTGTCCTACAGGGGCTTCGGCGTTCATGGGCGGCAGGCAGCTTTTCCATCGTTTCGGGACATGGTGCTGGGCTTGTATTCGCAGAGTATGGGACCCTACATAGGCCACCCCAGTTTTGGGGAACGTCGAACTGGACACACTCGCAAGTGTGCGTCTATTCGCCTAGAAACCCAAACATAACATGCTTGACTGACTCTGCGGGAGTTGAACAAGTAAGGACTGCTTCTGGAGCACGTGGAGGCAAGGTGGTGTGCGGGGGCTTTACGCTGGCTGCTTTGCCAGCATGTTGGAAATTGCACCTTATAGCGCCATCGTCTTCACCGCGTACGAAGGCTGGCGGCTGCAAACAGATCATGAAAAGAGATTCAGAATTATGAATCTCTGGGACTTCCAATAAGTCAACGTGATTGCAAACAATGTCAACAAGACATGGTTTGCTTGCGTGTTTGCGCGCCCACTTCTCTCGTAGACTACAACAACCAGAGCTGCTTGTATAGTCTTCTGTAGGAACCGAAGAAGTCAGCAGTTCTAGGGGACAGTCTCATGGTGGCAGACCGGGTTATGAGCATGCAACAGCCACTGCGTCATTGTTGACACGTCACGCTCTGAATTATCTTCCAGGGCCTAAGTAATCGCTGCCCTCCTCCTTCTGAGCTCGCTTGCATTGCACGATCCCTAGAAGAGATGACCGGAAACGATACCAAAATTCTGCAGGCTGCTGCAACGTGCTCCAAACACAGCCTAACACAACCTAAGCTATGGGTTCAGGGTTTACGGTCCAGCCCCAAGCCCCAAATTTCAAACAGGCATTAAGCAGCGGTTGCTGCCGGTCGGCAGCACCGGCGTCCTGCCATCCGGGCCGCAGATTCTGGCAGGAGCCGTAGGAAATGTTGGAGATTGAAACAGATCAGAAAATGGAGCAGGAAATGGATCAAGGGTGTTAGAACGGTTATAGGGTTCGAAGTTTGGGCTTGATGGGGTGGGTTTTGGGGGGTTGAGGGTTTTATGCTTCAGGGTTTAGAGTGGCGGGCTTCAGGTTTTGATATGTTGGACTACTCCAATAAATTTGTCCAAAGTATCAGGTCCGCAAAAGATAGTCTTGCCCCCCAATTACCACTTTACCTGTGCCTTAAAGAGTAGGCTTTGCATGTGCCGTTCCTCAAACTCATCCTTGCAGGTTGCATTATGCATTGGAGGGGGTGCCCTACTCCACTTATTACTTTGTAGATCCTGGGGGGTCCCTAGGGTCATGGGTTTTGCGATTACCCCACCCTATTATCTCTTCTGGGTTCCCCCTGACTTAGCCCTACTCCTAACCTGGTTTTGAGCCCCAGTTCCCCAAACCCTAAACCCCTCAGGGTTTAGGGTTTAGGTTTGCCTCTGTTAGCAGGAGTCACTAGTGGCTTGACTGCCGCAAGCATCTGCTATCCGATGGACACAGTCAGACGATGCCAGATGCCGTTGGTGGCACTTTCTGATTTTAGGGTTTAGGGTTTAGGGATTTAGGGTTTGGGGTCTAGTTGGGTCTGCACTTCTTGAGCCAGAGTTCCGGGTGAGGAGAAAGGCTGCTCTCAACTCACTTCTGACATTTTGCCCGCATCGACCCCCAAACTGATTATAGATCTTGAACATATGCATGGAGGTCATTGAATAAATGTGTTACCATGAGCTATGAGACTGCAATAGGAAATGAGATCCACAGCTGTTCGAAGCTATATGCTCCTTGCGGATATGGGTGATTGTCAAAATTATGGTCCCTTTTTGGGTACCCTAAATATTAGGTGCCGTATTATAATAGGGACCCAAAAAGGGACCACATTTTTGACAACCACCCATATGATTTGTCTCAAAATGAGATCATACTCGTCAGATTAGAGAGGAGCCCTTATGTTGAGAATTGCATGTTCATATCCTATCTGTAACATCACTAGGGAGCTGAAAGTAGGTCCTACAGGCTTAGGGCTATGGGTTTGGGCACAAATGCACCTTGAGTTGTGGTAACGAAAGAGGACGGGATGGGGAATGGGCCAGTTTCAGTGAGGCCTTTCCTTCTGAACACCCTTCCCTCCGAAGCTTCAATGATGAATCCTAAACCCTAAACCCACGAACCGTACTTTCCCCAAACCAGCATGGCCCAAAATGGGTCGGAAGGGCAACTGTCCATATGAACCCAGACTATCTGGATTTTCATGTTAGGTTGTGGCGGAAGGACTACCTTAAATCCTAAACCCTAAACCCTAAAGCCTACTGGTCTACCCTAGAGCTTTCAGGACAACTTATGCTGGACGGAGCACTGGGGTTCGATGCTAGGTACCTGGGCCCTTACTTGCTGGGAGGTTGAGGTTGATGCTTCAGGGTTTGGGGATTAGGGTTTGAGGTTTCAGGATGTGGGTTTAGGGTCTTGGGATGAGGGTTTAGGGTCTACGGAACTGGGTTTAGGGTTGAGGGCTAGCGTTTTGCGTACAGGGGGGGTCCCAAGCCTTGAGATCCAGACGTATTTCGAAGTTCCTGAAACGTAAACCTTAGTTCCTCAGCCCCAAACTGCCCCAAACTCCAAACCCTACACCCCAACTCCTAAACCCCAAACCCTACACTCATGAACCGCAAACCCTACAAGCACTACCCCAAATTCTAAAGAAGGTATGGTGGCAGCCTCTGGAAGTGTTGCAACCATCTCTGGCGCCAGGGTGGCTTTCCGCTCTTTTATCGTGGCCAGACTTGCCTTACCCTGGGGCTTCAAGTCAGGGTTGCCAGAGGTCATTGGCTTAGGGTTGAGGATATAGCTCTTTTCTTTTAAGGTTGTAGGGTTTAGGGTTTAGGGTTTAGGGCTTAGGATGTAGGACTTGAGGTTTAGGATTGGGGGGGTGAGGTTAAGGGTTTTTGGTGGGGTGCCCCTAGAGGAAGGATGTTAAGATGTTTGTTGTTGGGAAGGCATAAGAGTACCTGTGTTTTTTTGAAAAATCAAGTAGCATAGGTCTTGCTTGAAATCTCAGCCCGCCAAAATCTGGGTTGCTGTTAAGGAACTTAAATTAAGTTACTATATTGGGGAAACCCCATTATTTACTATATGTACCCATTATGGTAACTTAATTAAAGTTCTTTAACAGCAACCCAGAAATGGGTTCTGCTTTTGGGAATGGACTTCGAGCCTCAGGGTTAGCAAGATTTTCTTTCCTATTTGGCAAGGTATTCACCAGTCTGATTGAAATCCCTAAACCCCCCTAAACCCTAAACCCCGGACTGACCTAAACCTCGAAACGCTGAAGGCCATCAGGATCTCCAAGATTTTTGAGAGTCCCCGATTTCAGAGCTTCTTACAATCAGGGTAGGCGTCTTTTTTGGGGCCTGCAAAGATTACTTGAAAGGATCACAGCTTGTCAAAACGTGGAGTTATGAGTCCGCAAGTTTTGGTGGTAAGCATTGGTATCCTTGTCGGCGAATCGTAAATCAAAATCTCACGCAGAGGAACCCATGAACCTCCAAGCAGGGTTCTTGCGATAGAGACCGGTACATTATGGACGGAGGGCATTACAGACAAAGCTCGTTTTTTTTTTGTGCATGTTGCAGTCACATGTCACAAACCGCCCATGATGCCCAGGTGGCTGGACAGCTACGCTGCTAAAAGCTGTGCCAACGGTCACGATCACTTTCCTGACCAAAGATTTCCTATCTGAGATGTTGAAAAGATCCTGAAGATCTTGAACGACCAGGAGCCTGACGCGTTCTGGGACAAGTTTCCCGTGCGGCCGTGCAAACACATGCTGGTGGGTTGCAGCAGTCTGGCAAGCTAGCTGTCATCCGGTCATCCATGTCCGAGCAACCAAATCCTCACCGGGACCGTCATGTCTCGCAATGTCAAGACCCTGGATGTCCTCTCAGATGGTGATAGGTTGGGTTTCCCCACTCAACGTTGCAGCATATGGGGGGGTCCCAAGACTTGGAGTACCTTCTTGAGCTTCCTTATTACAATAAGCAGTATAAAAGATTGGAGTACATTTCTGAACAATATTTTCTTGTTCCCAGCCTGTTTTCAACTACAGGAGGACACACATTCCAGTTGGGGGGAACCTAATTTACAATTCCTGTCTGAATAGCGAGCAGCAAAGCCAGTGTCCCAATCTGTCCCGACGGTTCGTACCGCAAGCTGGACGGCGGCCGCAAGTTTTCGGCAAGAAAAAGGCAATCGGAAGAAGACAGCTCAGGGCTTATAGTCCCCCTTAAGTAGATAGAATATGGGGTATATGGGGATCTTAGTATAATATACCCAAAACCATATTCTATCTACTTAAGGGGGACTATAGGGCTTCGCAAGATGGTTTGGGGCTTTCAAAAATGGCAGCTCTGTGGTTCCCAATATAGTCTAAGAATTTCCCACGCAGAATACTTATTACTCCTGCCAGTGCGGCACGACGGGTGTTTATGAGAAATTATCCTGTATTCAAGGTGCATGGCTATTGTTGGTATCCACGCCCAATAATCATATTTAACCCTCTATAACCCCTATATACGCCCATTGTAATATGGGAGTTTCCATGTAATTTTCCATTATCCCCATATAGTCCTTATAACCCCCAAGCTCCGGGTCCTGAAGTTGCAGGCACTAGAATTTGTCTATAAACGAATGCTGATGGCGATCACAGATCTTCTAGCTCTAGCTCCCTTGCGAGTACTGACTTCTGGGGGGGCCATACATACAACTCCGCCCTAAACCCTAAGCCCTAAACACAAGTTTTGCACATGCTGCGGATTTCCTCCGGCAGGAAGTAGGGTCCAGCTCCTCGGGTGCTGTGTCCATCCAAGCAATAGCATCTTCGAATAGGGTTTAGGGTTTAAGGAGGTGTAGGTAAATAGGGATGCCAACTACCTCCAGTAGCTCAGTAGCTCCCAAGATTGCATTGTCTTGTGAGATTCCTGTACATGGAAATCAAGCAGAGAAGAAGACTACTGGGCCGCGCCATAGTCATAGCAAAAAGAAGAGCCCATCCAAAAAGCCGTGTGGAAACCATGTAAACCCGCGGAAAAAGCATAGGAAACGGGCCATGTATTGGATCCCCATCAAGTACCATCACTGGCTATCTCATTTTGTGGCTGGAGCCATCGAGTTGAAAATCGCCATCCCAATTTAATCCTCTGCCACGGGACCCCCCAATTTTTCCAAACTGGAGTACCTTTTTGCGGGTCCCAAAAAAGGACGCAAGCATTTGGGGGTCTATGTTGGGGTCTCCCTACGTGTGGAAACTACCAAATGCCACATGAGCTATAGTCTAAACTCCTTAAAAGGGACCAGAAAGGGGCTTATCATATAATATAGGAGGCATGAAAAGGCTTGCTAATTAAGGGGGATGCTAGGAGTTTAGACTATAGCTCACATAATTCTTGCAAGATACTAGCATCATAGTTTGAGTGTGCTCCAGAAAGCTCATTCTTGGAGACACCCCATACCGTATATTAAACGCCGCGTAGCCCTGAGAACTGTCGGGGTCCCTCAAGTCTCTGCCCCTAAATTCCCTAAACCCGAAACACTAACCCTGAATCCGAAACCCAAAAGCCAAATCCGTAAATCCTAAACCCTATCCTCACCCGACTTCACCCCAACTGGCGATTGCTCAAGAGAATTGTCCGGAAGTTGACTTGCTCCAGGCTTCGAAATTATCATGAATTGGCCAGTTCAGGGTTTAGAGGTTAGGGTTCAGGATTTAGGCTTCAAGGTTTAGGGCGTAGGGTTCTGGGCTCGCCTCTGGACACCTCTGGAAAGCTACTCTGTGCAAAGCTCCGCAGGCGAACAGCGTTGGGTTCTATCAGATTACAAAGTGCCTCGGACATATATAGCTGACACCGCAACGGGAGGGGGGGGTGGGGCGGGATCGCCTTACGTCATAGGAGTTTGTGGTTCCTCGACTTCAGAACTTTCGCTTCCGTTCTTCCCAGAAAATCTTTGGCATTGAGAGTCTTAGGCTTATGAGGAGGAGCCGGAATGTCATCCAAGCATACTGTCCCTAAGGGTCCAAGGACCCAAATAATAGGTGTTTAGAGCCCAAATACCATAATATTATTGGTATTTGGGCCCTGAACCTATTATTTGGGTCCTTGGACCCTTAGGGTGTACCATCCATGACATAACTTGGAGACCAAGTCTGTCTTCGGTACCGTTCAGCACCCTTGCCGTTGCAGACAAGCCTCACATGAAGTTTGCAGGTCGGCTTGGTGACGAAGATAATTTTGTAACCCGACCCCCCTTCTAGAATAGTGGCCCCTCACAAAGATGCGATAGTTGTAGGGTCCGAATGCAGGGCTTGGGCAATCTAAATCTCCTATTTATTCTTGTCGCTTGCAGCATTGGATGTCCAACAGACTCAGTCCAGTTCAAGTTCACTGCAGTGGTTCGTGAGTTTCCTGTTTCGAAAACTTAAAAACAGCCGTCCCAAGCCCCACACCCCAAACAATCCATTAGGTTTTTTTCTGAGTGCAACGGAGAGTTCCCCAAGCTGCCTCTGACGAAGTGTCTAGACAGTGAGTTTCCAGGACAGGGATGGTGGATATACCTACAAGTAATGGGCGCCGTTGAGGTTGAGGGAATATGGGTTATTTTTCAAGCTAGAAGCGGTTAAAAAGCTTTCCTCTACCCATGCGCTCCATGCAGCCCCTGTTGAGTTTCGGTAAGAAATCTGATGTGGGAGTTTCGCACAACAGCCCCTCTCCGCCTTAGATATAAAGACCTCCAAAAGCCCCCTAGGATTCTCATACGCGTTTGAAGTGCTTAAGGGCCACCCAGTCGGGGGTCACTCTATACTCCTAGACCCCAAAGCCCTACATATCCCGATTCCTGCTCTCATTTAGCTTTCCGGTTCTTAGTAGGGAATATGGCAATACAATCCTTATGTAATCCCTATACTATAATGTATCCCCTTAGTCCCTACTAAGAACCAGTAAGTTAGAGGAACTTAAGGCCCCGCCCTTTTTGCGAAACCCCTGTTTGCACTCTTTGCGCCAAGGTTGCTGATCATCCCAACCGTGATGGGCCCACGCCTCAGCGACCTGCTGCACAGATCTACTGCAAGCTCACTGGGTTGTTGTTAAGGAACTTAAAAAAAGGTTACGTTAATATGGGTATATCGTGAAAAATAGACTTTCCAAAACACAGTGGCTGCATTTAAATGCTTTAGCAGCAGCCCAGCGTAGAGCTTTCGGAAGATTTGAGGTCTCTACTCGGATTGTTTGCGTTCAGAATTCAGGGGCTCGCTATGTCTTTGTTGAGATGATGATGATGATGATGGTGATGATGATGATGATAATGATGATGATGATGACGGCATTTGTGCTGAAGTTTGATTAACATAGAGGAAGACACCACTCTTGTCGTGTCAGAGACAAGAGCATTAGGAATGCCAGTTGTTACCGGCCATGACCAGCAAGGATCGCTTCATACTTCAAGAAGCGCGCAGTGCATGCCTTACTACTGAAGAGAAGTAATTACACCCTTTGGTACCTATCTAGGTGCCTAGAGTAGGGAATACTCAAAACCATGTGCAGGCTGATATAGACCATACATACAAAACCGTGTTCTGATTCATTCAGGTCTCTGCAGTCCCTCACACAAGTGTTTATATAAACCTTATTCTGATATAGTAGTTTCCATTTTCTTTTTCATTACCCCAATATAGCCCCAATATATAGCCTATAATCCCTATTTATGCCCAAGATAATCCCTATAAAGCCCCTATAGAATCCCTGTATAACCCCTATAGCACCCCTACATTACCCCAATGGGTACCTATATTAATCATGGCTTTCCACCCGAGGACTGGAACGACTGCAGGGGCGACGCGCAGTCTACAGTCGCAAGGCAGGTGACCTCAGTGATAATTTTGCTGACCAGGAGTACCATGGTCCTGAACAATGATATTATAACCCTATTAATGGTATTTGGGCCCTAAAACCCCATTATTTGGGTCCTTGGACCCTTAGGGTAATCTTAGCTGGTTCAACCATAGAACAGCTCTACGCAGGGCTCTTGTCTACGAAAGTCCCCGTTGACGAATAGACAGCCTTGTGAAAAGGGGGACTGCTTGAGTACATATTGTTTGGGGTTTAGGGTTTAGGATTTAGGGTTTAGGATTTAGGGTTTAGGGTTTAGGGTTTAGGGTTTAGAGGGTGATGTTCATCTCCAGACGTAGCCTGGAGAAGTCGCAGAAGGGCCTGAATCAACACAATGCGATCCGCAGGGAACCTGCTCCTAAACCCTAAACCCTGAACCCTAAACCCTAAATCCTAAACCCTAAACCCTAAACCCTAAATCCTAAACCCTAAATCCTAACCCTAAACCCCAAAAAAAAAACCTGCGTGGCAGGTCATACTCAGCATTTTGGTCACAGCCATCGGAGCCCCGACCTTGGAAAATGGGATGGGCACTATATTGGGAGCATGCAAAAGAAAATGGAAACTCCTGGGTTCATTGGGGATAATGGAAAAGAAAATGGAAACTATAGGGAATATAGGGTTTACATAGGGATTATATTGGGGTTATATAGGGATAATGGAAAAGAACATGGAAATTACTATAGTATATTGGGGTTATATAGGGACAATGGAAAAGAACATGGAAATTACTATAGTATCTTGAGGTGATGTAGGGATAATGGAAAAGAAAATGGAAACTACTATGATATATTCGGGTAATACTGTTAGCCGTTCTT